GTGGGGTTTTATCAGCTGCCTTTTCTCACTGCAGTGAGCAAAGGAACCTTCCATCATCTCCTGGGGCAGGGCAGAGCTCTGCAGAGAGAGAAGAATGCAGGCAGAACTGAGGTGAAGGGACAAGAAATGGGCAAAGGAGGGCAGAGTGGGACAAACAGAGATGTACGTGGTTCTACAGGCAGCCCTGAGGACCAGTCCTGGTCCTACTGACTTCAAGGGAGGGGGAGGAGAGGCTGAGCTGCTGTAATGGGGCTGTTGCAGCTGTGATGGTTTTAGGAGAAGAGGAAAGGAAAATGTACAGGGAAAAGCAGCGTCTCCAAGAAAAGCAGGTGCTCAGGTGGGGAGAGCAGTTGGAACTCAGGAAATGGAACTGCTGGATCAAACCTGCAGTGGTGCATCCCAAAACTCACCTATTTCCCTCCTACCCAACTACAGCACCCTGAAAGCAATGGAAGGTGCTCCTCTCCCTCCCAGGGGTGGCTCCCTGAGCTCACTAAGACAGATGAGCCCCAAATAAGGATCAATAACTGGGCTGTGAATAAGGCAAGATGGACGAGGGAGGGAATGGGCACTGAAAAGGGCAAGTTCCAGGCAGGATTAATGATGGAGAGGGAGTTGCACTGGAGCAGAGGAAGTCACACTGCTCAGCTCTTTGTGCCTTCAGGAGGGGAAGGGTTTGGAAGGAGTTACGTGTACCAGGGAATCCAGATGCCAGTGAAAGCTCACTGGCACCTCCAGAGTGCTTCTGTCTCAGTGTTATGGGGTTTAGATGGCAGCAGGGACAGATCCAGGAATAAGGGAAAAAGCTGGAAAACCATAGGGCAGTCTTACAAAGGCACAGGCTTGTGCTGGTAACACCTCAAGAAGGGAAAAATCCCAAATCTGCCTATCTCAAAGCCCCTCTCTACCTCTCCTACAGTATTCCACTCTTACTTCCTTCAATTCTCACGTTCCAGGCCACAGCCCTCTGCTCAGCCAGGCTGCTGTCACAATCAAAACCATTCCTCCAGTCTTGTGTCTCCATCAGGATGTGGGGGGAGGCAATAAACACCCCTTCTCCAGCAGCAGCTGCACAGCTTGCTCCAGGCACAGGGTGCTTGGAGGAATGTTACCTCGGAGGAAATCATTAAAGGAATCCGGCTAATTTTGTAATTCACACCTGGACTGCAAATGTTAAAGAGCCTGCAATAATCTCTAATGAAATATCACATTGTTTAAAGAGTTCCCAGTGAAATTCGCCCTTAATTGATTTTTGATCTGTGAAAAAACACTGTAGAGAGAGAGAGAAGGTATCAGTCAGATTCCTGTTTTATCCCTCCTGCGAGCGTTTTCCTGCCTTTGTTTCCTTTGTCCCCAAGGAATCAACACTACCCTGGAGAAAGCAGCCTGGAAGACACTACAAAACTAATAAATAACACTCGAGTGGGAATCTTGAACGGCACATCCTCTTAAATCATCCTGAAAAAGGTGAAGCAGTCTCCCAGGACAGCTCAAAAATCACAGAATGTGGATCCGTAGCAAGAACCATCCCGGACAGATCCCGTGAGTTGGACCTTCTCCAGCCCCCAGAACCTCCCCAACAGCGCCGAGGCTGATCCCTTGTGCAGTGACACATCTCATCTTGCCCTCAGGTCATCACAGGGGAGCTTAATCCAGACATGAGTGACACAGAGCAATGGCCAAAAATACTGACAGCAAAAACCTGGCAGAAAATTCCTGACAGCGGCAGCATCCGGCAGCTGCTGGAGCCAAGGAAGCAGGTCAGGATTAACTCACAAGATAATGCACTGCAAAGCTCTTCCAAAACCCAGCAGCAAACTGACATCAAGCAAATGAGTAAACAGTAAAATATAGCTGGGAGAGATGAGAGGAAATGCATCTCTAAACATCACCGGAGACCCAAATAAACTGCTGAAGCAGGCGGCTGGAAAACACCGGGCATCAATAAGGCTTTAACTAACATTTACAGCTGCCACAGAGCCTGCTGCAAAGAGCCAAAGCTAAAAGGAAAAAGGGGGGAAAATGAAGGAAAGGATGTGCAAGGGTGTTCTTAAGAGCTGCTGGAAGGAACTACATCCCAGGCTGGCCAACTAAACCAGCAGAGGAACACCTTCCATGGCAAGGAAATTGTGATGGGATTGAGGGCAGGGTGAAATCTGAGAGGCTGCCAAGGGAATGGGAAATCCCTGGATGTGCTGAACATCTTCAACAATAAAGCCTTTGATAAAATAAAGATGCTGTTAATTAAGGAATTAAGGGGAGAAGAATCCTCACAACTGCTGTGTTCAGGTCAGTGCTGCTCAGTAACAGGTTCAAGTGGCTAAACCTGGGATAATGATGGATAACCTGGGACAACAGGGGATTCCTTTCCCTCAATTACACAGCACTAACATCAGGTTTATAATATGGCCCTGGCACAGGGTGCCCAGAGAAGCTGGGGCTGCCCAATCCCTGAAAGTGCCCAAGTCCAGGCTGGATGGGGCTTGGAGCAGCCCGGGACAGTGGAAGGTGTTCCTGCCCATGGCAGGGGGTGGAATGGGCTGAGCTTTGAGATCCCTTCAAACACAAACCAGTCCACAATTTTATGATTCTACGGTCCTCATGGGAATGATCAGATCAATTTTGCTTTTGTAAAGCATGTGTTGGCGTATACTCCCAGCAAGGGTGGTTCTTTTCAGCTCCTGCTGGAGAACTTTCCTTATCATTCCATTCATACGTCTCTGTGAGATCCAGTGACATTTCCACCTCAGCTGAAATGGGGGAATCAGCCAGATGGGATTCCAATGGAAGTGATTTCCCTGTGACCATGAGTTTTATCCTTGAGCAGGACTCAGCTGGGACCAGTTCTCTGTAGCAGCACCAAGAGAAGCTCTGTGAGGAGTTTCCCATCCTGAGGGCTTTTCTTTCCTGTACCAATCTGAGGATCTTCCTTCAGCATCTCTCCCTAGGCTGTCTTGTCTAGACTATCACACTGAGTATCTGGGGCATTTCATAATCTTCTTAAGAATTGTGACCTTCAGTTCTGTGTTTCAGTGACCTGAAAGTTTGTCCAAGAAAAACATGTGCTTTATTTTTAAAATACACAAATTCCCCCAGCTCAGCTGTTTCCAGTCAGGTCCAAACCATGCCACATTTTCTCACATCTGCAAAGAGCTGCTGTATGTGAAGTGTATTTCTTCCACCCCACTTCCTTGAGTATAATCATGCACAGTTAATTTTAAAAAAATTGACAGCTCAGTAATTTTTTCCCCTTGTATATCCCTTCACCTTTTGCAAAAAAAAAAAAAAAAAAAAAAAAAAAAAAAAAACAGGCAAAGAACCAGCTCCATACAGTAGGTATAAGTAATAGCCCTGGAAGGTGGCAGGTGCCAGGACAGGCCATCCAGGAAGATTTCAGCTGTCTCCTCTGGAGCTAGGCACATCTGCAGATCCTCAAAGCATCCTTTGTGTCCAGTGCCTGCCATGCCCCACAGCACAGAAGCTGACACAGGGTGACCTGGGCGAGGTCACAATGGCCAGGAGACACCTGGGAGCCACTCCCCTATTCCAAGCCCCTGTTCCATCCGCTCTGCCTGGAGGCTGGGGCTCTTGGTTTGTTGTTTAAGGTACAATTTAGTGCACTCCTTACCTGCTTCCTTTGAATCTAATGAACCACGCTCTCAATTTGATTTGTCTGCCTTGGAAGTCTGCTCCTCACTAATTCCCATTCATCCATCTAGTTTTCCTTGTTCCCTGCAAACTGTCATTTTTCTGACTGCAACATATTCAACTCCATCATCCCAGGCATTTTATTTGTGTGGTTCTGCTCTAACGGCGAGCGTGGCTGTTTCAAATTATGCCTTGCTTTCAGTTTTGCTTGAGTGTAAAAATGTCGTGTAAAAATGAACTACCCTCTGATGAAGGCTTTCAGCCTTCCCATTTGAGGAACAGCAGGCAGCTTTTTGATTCTGGGAGCAACGGGAGAAGGAGCAATCCAGCTTTTGTTTTACAGATTGCTACAATAGATAGCTTCCCTGTAGGAAGTGCAGCACTATATTATGCTTATGTAAAGGGTAATGACTGGGAACTTGGAGAACTCTCCTCTTTGGAAGTGCCTGAGGACCGGGAACAGCAGGTGTGGAGGAAGAAGAAAGCTCCAGTGCCTTTCTGTCCTGACTTTCTCTTCTTTTATGTTTGGAGACTGAACTCAGTGTCAGAAGCAAGTCAGCTCCTGCAGGTACATGAAAGTGGAAAGGTGTAAACGTGGCAAGGAAGAAACCCAAAAAACAGGGGGAGGCAAGGCAGGGCTGAATCCCAACGCCTGGCCCTGAGCAGCAGCAATGGAAGGGGCTGTGCTCAGCAATAAGAGGCTCTTTAGCTCACTGTGGGGAAACTGGGCAATTACCCGAGGGGCTGGGTAAGGGAGAGAACAAAGCCAAACGCTGCTGGGGAAAGCCTGTGCCGTGTTCCAAGAGCAGCACTGCACAGCACAGCAGCAGTAAGCTGAGGAAAACCCCCTGACACCCTCCACAAAGACATTTCTGACCCACTGGAACATCAAATACTAAAGGTGCCCCTGTCTGTCCCTGCAGACCTGAGGCAAAATGCTCCTTCCCGCTGCTAAACAGCACAATGAGCACCACAGGGAGCAAAGCTGCAAAAAGGGACCCTGTGCTTTGCCTGTTCCAGGCACAAAAGATGCCAAAGCCCCAGGAAATGCCACCAAGATGCAGGATCTGAAGTCTGAGCTGAGCAAAGCTGGCTCAGGCAGCAGCTCAGGGAAAGCACTCGAGGATCCTATGTGAGAGCAAAGACATGAGCTGGCACAGTGGGAGAAACAAAATGCAGGACACTGCTTCCAAGCCAGGCCAGGAGCAGCTCTCTGGGATTAATCAGAAAATACAGCTTGCCTGGTTTGTCCCTGATTGGAAAAGTCTCCCTCCTCTAGTCCAGAGCCTTCAGGTTGAGTCAGACTTTTCATGGTGGCTTTTCCAATTTTGGGGGTCACATCCGTTACCTACCCTGGTGTGTGTCCAGCTCCATCATGTCCAACTCCCTGGGTGGCCTTTGGGAACAACAGAAAAAAAACACAATTCAGTAAAAAGCAGCAGGAAATTCTCTGAATAGAGAATTGTATGAAAGAACTGAGGAAGGAGAAAACCCCTGTGTATTCCCCTAAACTCTGTAAGAATTGTTAAAAGCAGCCAAACAAAGGGACAAGAAACTGCTGGGACAACACAGTAACGCACATTTACTGAGAACATGGATCAGAGCAGCCCAAGGATGTGATTTGCATTCCTTTCCAGGCTGAGTTTTAGGAAACCAGCAGCTCCCAAGCAAGCAAGCAGAAGCATGGTGACACATAGCAGCCTGATCGTGCTGGACAACAAAGACCTCCCTGATGCTCTGAGAGGAAGGAAACAAAGATGCAGCAAAATACAGACAAATTAAAAGGACTCCACCAGTCACAACAGCACTAGGACAATGGGAGTTCTAAGCTGTATGCCAAGGGAAAGCACAGACTGAAATACAAGTGGTACAGTCAGCACAGGAAATGCTACACAATCCTAAAATACAAGTTCATTCATGGAGCTGTGGTGCAAAAGCTGCAGGAGATGAATATACAGTTCATACACACAAGGAATTGAAAGAAGGAGTGACCTGCATGATCCCCACATTATCTCTGCCAGGGAAAACCTCAGATGGTGTTTAAGGAGTGGGATGTCTCTCAAACACACCGCAGCCAGCACTGGGTGAGAGAAGAGCAGTACAGCAATATGTGACAGTAGCAATATATACTTGGAATGCACTGCAGGAAAAGGAAACCATTCTGAGAGCCACAGACATCTCTGATCCAGAAATGTGCCCACCACAGGACGAGGTGCAAGGCAGGGGTAGTGCAGCAATGAAATAAAACATTTTGCTAGCACCAAGGGAATTCACCCCGGTCAGAGAGCACACATCCAAACACAGGGGACCGAGGAGACTCTAACTGGGAAGAGGAAAAGCAAGCAGCAAACTCCAGCTCTGGCAGCAGGGCACACACAGAACACACTCTGGAGGCAGGGAGCAGCAGCCTTACCGTGATCCCGATGCTGGCAGTCAGTGGTGATGGGATGGGAACGCTCCTTGGGATCCAGGCTGCAGAGCCACCAGCAGTGCCACAAACACCAGCCCAAGCAGGGAGGATCCCTTGGAGGCTGTTAGGCTGTGGTTGAAGGTCTGGGATACAAGAACTAGGTCCTCTCTGGCTGCTACAAACAGCCAGGAGGGGAGCAGCAGCTGTGAGATGAAGCAGATAAAGGATCACACACAAGTGATTTCCCATCTTCAGCTTCCAGCCCTGTCCTACGGAGCGAGAGCAGCACAGATCTGAGAGCCTCAGAGATTATTGGGACCTGGGAATGATCTAATAAAACCTCTTCCTAGTCCTGCTGTGCTCCGAGACAAACACACGTTACAGCTGCATTAAGACAACACAGCTGCTCTGTAAAACAAGCCCCTCTTTCCAAAATGCCACGATGTGGAGGAAGGTAAAATCCAACCACACACCGGCAGGGAACAGGGGCCTAAGTCATCCCATATGGAAAAGAAACAGCTATACCTGTGGTCACAGTAATCCCAGGAACAGGTCTGGCTTGCTGGTAGCCTGCTTACCAAAACAGATGCAATTTATGTTCAAAGTCAGGAAGGCTTCAAGAAGAAAACCTCAAATCACTACTGGGTGTGTTTTTTTAAAGCCACAGCTTGCAGTCCAAAATATCTCCTGTGCCTCCCACTGAAAGGGAAGTCTCAGAGTTTTGCCATGTGCTGCTGGAAGGAGGGCTGTCTCCAGGGATGCTTCTCTCCCAGAGCATTCTCCCAGCATCAGCTGGGAGTGCTGACCTTCCCCCCAAAATAAACACAGCAAACTGCCCAAAGACATGAAAAGCATCAAAACAAATGAAATGCTTGGCCAAGTGCAAAGCCAGGCTTGGAAAGCCTCCAGGAGCCCCAGGACCAAGCTCTCCTCTACAGCAGCTCTCATCCATCATCCCAGTGCCAGTGCCAGTGCCCCTCCATGCTGGGAAAGGCACCAGCAGTGCCAGCTCAGCACCAGGGCTGTGACACAGAGCAGCTCTCTGGATTAGGTCAGGGCATTCCTGGAGGAGCTGGAGAGCTGTAAATCCATGAGAGATAGTGCAGGAGGGTGCTGACCTTCCTTCTGACCATTCCACCTGCAATATTCCCAAAAGCACCTTTCCTGCAGGTTAAGCTGGGCACGATTAGGGATGCCAGAGGTCTGTCAAGTGCCAAACACCTGGAGAAGTGCTGATCAGGAGGAAGAAGGAGACATAAACGAAGCACATGCCACCCTTCAGAGACCTTACAGAAAAGCAGGAAGGAGCCTGGCATGGAGAACGACTTCTCATTAACCTCTCAGGCCCAGCCTCTGGGGGAAGCATCCGGCAGGGCTGTGAGAGGCACTCCAGGGAGCACAGGGAAGCCAATGGGTCAATCCCAAAATTCCAGTTGTGCTCATTGCATGTGCTTTTGTACCCTTTACCTGAGAGGGGGAACAGAGCCTGGCAGCCAAGCAGCAGCTACCATGGCACAGCAAGAGCAGAACCAGGCACTCAAATAGCTCTGAATTAGCTGCAGAAAAGCTGAAGGAGAAGAACAGGGAAGCAAGGCGCTGTCAGGGGGAGAAACACCTCCTTGGTAAATGGAAGATGCTTCCCACTCCTGTGTGACTCCTGAGGCCTGTGCTGGGAACAAGAGATAAAGGGGGAATGGCCTTAAACTGAAGAGACAATAGATTTAGATTGGATGGAGAAATCCTTCCCTGGGAGGGTGGGGAGGCCCTGGCACAGGGTGCCCAGAGCAGCTGTGGCTGCCTCTGGATCCCTGGAAGTGTCCAAGGCCAGGTTGGATGGGGCTTGGAGCAGCCTGGGATGGTGGAAGGTGTCCTTGTAGGTGGAACTGGATGGGCTTTACAGTCCCTCCCAGCCCACACCATTCTGGGATTCCTTGATGAAGACAACAAACAGGTGGACTGGGATAAGTAATCTAAAAGTCCCAGAATTTGGGTCTGCCTGATGCCAGGAAAAAACAGCCCTTTTTCTGGTGACCAGCCATCCACAGGAAGCAAGCGTAGACTGAATACACTCCTCCCCACTCCTGAAATACCCCAAACTCTCTGCACATTCCCCTCCATGAGCTCAAGAAATGAGCAGAGGAAGCTGAAACACGGAAGGGGAGAGCTGAGCAGTGGGAAAGAGGAAGAAGTCTCCCACAGAGGCTGACAGAGACCCTCACCCTCATCACAGCCAACAGCTCTTCATGAGGCAATTTCCTGTCACCACACCAAAGATGCTCCTGTCCCAAACCCCAGACTTCATGGTGTGAAGTTTGTGCCAGCAGTGGGAATTCCAGCTCCTTCCAGGGAGCAGCAGGAATCGGGGGATGTCTCCACTGAGGGTGAAGGAGCCCCGGGACTGCTCCCCCAGCCCAGCTCTCTGAATGAAGACGGGCCACTTCTATTCCACATAATCCAACATTTCAAAGCCTGGGTGGCCATTGCTGGGGCTGGGGCAGTGGTGGGGAGGATTGATCCCTTTGCTGACAGCAGAGACACATGGAGTGAACAGCAGAGGGGCTGGAGTGGTTATTGATTTGCTACATGACCTTGGCTAAGTCACTTAACCTCAGTTTCCTCATCTGGATATTGGGAATTATGAGACTTGCAGAGTGCCACAAATTCATCATAGGGAACTACTTAAGAGATCTTTATGACTTAATGGGATTTCCCACTTGAAAATTACTCCCATGAGGATTGAAGAAGTGGGACCGGGATATTCATAGTCCAACTTCTACTGGAAGTGCAGAGATTTTTTTTTTTTAATGGGTTTTTTTCCCTAAAACACCCATGTAAATCTTACAGCTCAGGAGCACACAGTCCAAGCATGTCCAGCCTCAGTGCTTTTTATAAACACTTTCTGAATCGATTCTGGCTATGGTAACAAACACCTCTCCTTGTCTTCATTCGTGTGGATTCAAACATTCAGAGTTGCAGACCCTAAGCAGTGGGGAAAGATGCTCAGCTCGTGGTGTGAAGTCTGCTCAAATTCACCTGCAGACTGTCACACATGGCTCCCTGGAAGAAGTGAAAATCCAAAGGATTAAAAGCTAAAAGTAGCAACAAAGTCACAGTTCTCCCTGAAGGTCAGCTCCGGGGTCCAGTTTCTCCTGTGGGATACCACCACTGAACCATGGAATCACAGGATAGGTTTGGAAGGCACCTGACAGACCATCCAATTCCATCCTCTGCCAAGGGCAGGGACACCTTCCACTGTCCCAGGCTGCTCCAAGCCCCATCCAGCCTGGCCTGGAACACTCCCAGGGATCCAGGGGCAGCCCCAGCTGCTCTGGGCACCCTGTGCCAGGGCCTCACCCCCCTCACAGGAAAGAATTTCTTTCTAATATTTAATCTAAACCCACTCTCTGTCAGTTTAAAGCCATTCCCTCTTGTCCTGGCACTCCAGGCCCTAGGAAATAGTTTCCATCTTTCTTGCACCTTCAGGCACTGCAAGGCCACAATTTGTTCACCCCAGAGCTTCTCTCCTCCAGGTGAACCATCCCAGCTCTCCCAGCCTTTCCCCCAGCAGAGCTGCTCCATCCCTCTGCTCATCTTGGTTCCTCCTCTGGGCTCTCTCCAGCAGCTCCAGCTCCTCCCTGTGCTGGGACAGGGCTGGGGCAGCTCTGCAGGTGGGCTCTCACCTGAGCAGGGCAGAGGGGCAGAATCCCAATCCCTTTCCTGCTGCCCACACTGCTTTTGATCCATAGGAAGGTTTAAATCCCTTCATCCCCACACTTCAAGCCACTGCCCAGCACAAAGCAGGCACTGATGTTTCCCAAGAACAACCAGTGCTCCCAGGTGCAGAGCAGTTCAAAGCACCTTCAGACAATGCAGGCCAAGGGTTGAGAAGCTGATTGCAAAATTCTCTCAAAATGGTGAATGCTTTCCTAGGAAAGGGGAGATAAAAATACCCAGTGTTTGTGCCTCAGTACAACCAGTGCTTTATAAGCTCTCACAGACCCAAACACAGCCCTGGCACTTGAGGACCACGGGACTAAATCCAAAGATCTTTCCTGTGCTAACTCACTCCCCCATAGGGAATTCAAACACTTACCAGACTGAGGAATATCTACTTCTGCCCTGTCACACTCCTTTGCTCCTTGCTCACCCTTCCCCTCATCACCCACACAGTCACTTGGTATTTATTCTGCTCTATTTTATTTGGATTTCGTCTAAGCAGACTCATTAATCTTCCCTGCAGATGCACAGCTCTGACAGCCGGGGTCTTGACACCTCCAGAGCCAGTGAAGGACATTCTCATATTCTTCTCTTCTTTTTCCCTGCTCCTTTCTCCTTCTAAAGAAATCCTTCATACCTCACCAGGCACAGGGTTTTTGATGAGAAGGTCATGTGAACTAGAGACAAGGGGGCTGTGGGGGAGGAAGGCAGGGGAAGAGGATGCAACTCCCACAAGGAACTCCCAAAGTCCCACTGAAAAGGTCAGGATGCTTTTGAGTCCTCTGCACTGCTCCCCAACACAAAAAAATATACTCAGGCCAGCACAGAGATACTTGATAAAGAGCCTAATGAAGTGGAAAGAGTGTTGTAGGGGAAGAATAGTCCTCTCTCATCTCAACATCCCATGATGCTCCATCCAGTTGCTATGGAGACTTTAAAAGAGAAGGGGTTTTGTTGTCTTGAAGGGCCTTCTCCCTTCCTAGTAACCTTGACCTTTTCCAGGTTTGTGTGTTTGTGTGTGCATGTGTATGTATTTGTAAAAAAAGAGATAAGGAATTCCATTTCTTCTTATCTGGTCATGGCTCACTGGCTGGCACTGATGCATGTGGGGGGCCGTCAGCTTGGCTCAGTACGGAGATTTGGAGAGGATAAGAGCAGGAAAATACAGAGGGGAGCAGTTAATTAAGGCTGATATTGCAAAGGACATTGTTTGCTGGATAATGAATTCCATCCGCTCCAGAAACACAAGTGCAATTAAAGGTGTGAGAGATGAAGGGCAGGAGGGAGCAGTGGGTCACTGTCACTGTACAAAGTGGCCCCAGGGGCCGTCCAAAGATGGGCTTTCACATAAGAAAACCACCACCAGAGATTATTTCTCATAAACAAGGCAGAGGAGCTGCTGCCTTGTTTTCGCCCCAGGTGAGGAAGGGCTCCCTGTGGTGTCAGCCCTTAGAGGGATGTGAGAGCCACTCAGGTTGAAAACAGGTTGATTTAGGTGGTCCTCAAAGCAAGAGGAATATGGAGTTTAGCAGACAGGCCCATGCACAATAACACTGCCCACAAGTTCATGTTCATTCCCTCCCTCACCAGGAATTTACAGGTAATTACTTAGCAGGAATTTAATTCCCATCTTCAGCCAGGCCAACAGAGATGCTCAGATGTCACTAGGAGCCCACTGTTTTCATCCTCCACTAGCCCTCATCTACATCTACATCCCCTCAACCCTGCCCATCTCCTTCCTGAAGGAGAGAGGGAACCTTGGTGCTGTGCTCCAGCTTGGGTCCCCTCCTGGCTCAGAGGCCACCACAGACCCTCTGCTCACTCCCCACATGAGGGCATAAACCTCTGTGTGCCATTACCTCACAGGACAGACAAACAAGGGAGGAAAGATGGTGGAA